ACGACAACGACGACGACGACAACGACTACTAACTACTAATACGACCACGACGACGGCGGTTTAGGTGCAGAAATGCGCGGTTGTTTAAGGAATGTAGGAGCTACGCCAGCTGGTCAGCAAAACAGCAACAACCACAACATCGCTTCTGGCAGGCGCTACACCTTTTGATTGTTAGCACCTTTCAGGCTAGACTTCCGTGGAACGAGCCCTCGGTTCATACATGCAGAAGACAGGAAGGGTACAAGGATTCGGGTGCCAGGAAATCAGGAAAAGCGACACTAAAGGCACTCTACGAATTGAAGGGTGCCCTAGCCTGGTAAGTGGCATCTCTTCTCCAACAAATTCAAGGGCACTGGTTTTGTTAGCATATAGCGATAAGAAGAACGAGAAGACCTCACCAGTAGATCCCACAACAATGCTGCAGAAAGCTGAGCTCCAGACTCGGGAGAGCTTCTGTCGAGTCCCTCCTCGCACGATGTCTGGGAGCTGTTCAGTCTCTTCGGGGCTTGGGGCTTCAGCCTAGACTTTGTAGTCTTTAGGTTTAGGGTTTTAGGGTTTAGGGGTTTAGGCTTCGGATTAAAGCTTGAAGGGCTTAGGGCTTGGGACTTTCGGCGCTCAGGGCTCAGAGCTTAGGCGCTAGCACTTTTCAGGGGGAGCTGATAGGGTTCAGGGCTGAGGGTTCAGGGTCAGCGAGTCTCGAGGCCTGCAGTTTGGTTTTTAGGGTCTATGTGGGAGTTTTGAGGCTTCAATATTTAGGGAAGGGATTCAAGTCTCTGTGTGTGTGTGTGCATTTAGTTAATACATATATATATAACTATAATGCATGCCGCTAGATATGCATATGTTTGCATACATGTACTCAAATGTTCCGTTTAAGCAGTTAAGCACAGACACATGCATTCGCTTGAGGTGCAGACCCCTATGTCTGTGCAGATCTTTGCACCTCCTGTGAAACAGTGTCGCTATCGCAATCATAACTCATTGCCTCGTCGTATTTATCAGTACTGGAAACCGCCCCATAGTGCCAATGCAACTCTTCTCTTTATACTATTTGGGTACCTTTCTAAATTAGGGTCCCTGTTAGGTCCCCCATATAGTACGGCACCCTTCTAAAGAGGACCCTAAAAGGGACCCTTCTTTGATTAAAAGCCATAGGTGACCGCGGCACCTTGAACTCGCCGACAGATGCTGGACCTGGCCCAGCATCTTTGACCAACTTCGGGGTTTGTATGGGTTCAGTTCTATGCTTTCTGAAGGTATATGATGGAAATTGATGGAGTCTAGAAGCTGTGTTTAAACAGTGTAAACGGCCAGATTCCACTTGAATCGTCATGCCCACTCTCAGCTCTGGTCCACATTCCTGGAGTTGCACGCCAAACCCCCCAAAAAACGAAACGTTCTAGAGCCTAACCCGAAACTCTAACAAGACAATATAGGGGCCTGAATAATTACCTATACGAATTTGGGGGCTCCCTATTATAATCAAAGTATAATATACCCCAAAACCCTATTCCAATTATTAAGGCCCCTTCTGTGGCTGATATCTTAACTCGCCACCCTTTTCTGAGGAGTGGACTTAATGGCGATGCCTCGCCACGCCGGTTCGAGCCTGCGTTGCGACTGGGCTCAGGGATTACGTAGGAGTTTAGGATCTCGGATTTCAGGGGCAGGGTTTGGGAATTGTGTAGGTGTTAAGAAAAGATTAAAGGTGGCTTCCAAAAACGAACCTTGGATAATACTGCGAGCTGCACTAATAAACCGTCATCCGAAAACAACCGCCATCCATCTCGAGCCCCCGAAGCATGAATCACCGATACTCCTCCAGTGGCACTACCCATAGGCCCCTAAGTAGTTCCTTTTTGGGATTACCTTATAGGAGTCTATATATAAACCATAAAAAGGAACTACTTAGGGGCCTGTGGGTATGTATGGAGTACCAAACCAACCAAACCCCTGTAGGGCCTTGGTAGTAATCCCTACTGTGAAGAACCCCTCCACGCCGCCCGAGAATGCCGCACTCCACACTTTTGCAAATCAAAAGCAGAGTGCCTTCTGAAACGATGGCACGCCTATCAGCGATGCCACAATCTTCAGAATCATGCTAGGAAGGCTCTGTTCAAGCCTCTCGGAGTCGACCTAAAATTTTCTCCAGGCCGTAAAGCTTCGAATCATCCGTCTAATCACCCATACTTCGATGCACGAACGTAGCAGCAGCATTACAAGCGTCATTATCATAACGTGCTGGCACTCATCAAAGGTCTAGCTGACGTACGGTTGGAGCTGAAGCATGGCGCTTGTCCGCTACTCTTGCGGCTCAAACTGAAAGATCCACGGCACGAAGAGCGACTTGAGGACAGAGATGAGGATGGAAATCATGTATGAAGACAGCGCTGCCGCATAGGAATACACCATTCGAGTGCCTACCTGGTCCATGTCAGCGTTTCTGCTAACCATGCATTTTCGGAACTTTGAGGGCTGGATACATATATATATATGTATATATGTATATATATATATATATGTATGTATGTATGTATGAATGTATGTATGTATGTACACAGATCATATATTTGTATATATATATATGTAAGAAATTAAAATATGATACAATATATTACAGCACAATACCATCTGTTCTATTGGGTAACATAAAGAGATAAAGAAAAAGATCATGTTGTAGTTATTGAAATATAACATGGTACAACATAAACAGTAAATCAAAACACCAATGTGACATATAACAAAAGGAGTTATCATATAACAGATATGATGTAGGATTACTCACAACAGTAGTAGGTTCGGAACCGGACCAACAACAACAACAACAGCAGCAACAACAACAACAATAACAACAAGAACAATAACAAAACAAAAATAACAATAACAATAACAATAACAATAACAACAACGAGCAATAAACAAAAACTGCAGCGCCGTCAATACATAAATCTGCGTTGTGTCCGTACATTAGGTAGAGACAAAAACAGGAGCCCCGTCATGTTGCTTTTGGTTTACAGGGTTTGCAGGATTTACACAGGCTTTCCCATTCAATCGATTTCCAATGATTTTGGGAGGATTCCCGGATTCCCGGTTTGTCAGAGCGTGTACAGTAGGTCTGCAATGCCTAAAGCTCACGCTTTCCAAAGCCTAAACCCCCGTCCAACTGCAACAAAAACCCTCTAAAACCATTCTAAATTCAACACCAAAACACTTCAACATCCCACTGATTAAGGCCATTCAAAACCCAACAGAAGACCTTCAACATCACGTAAAACCCTGCAGAATCCTTCCAAATCCAACGAAAACCCCCTGAAACTTCCAGACAAAGCCTTTCGAATCCCCAGAAAAGCCCTTAAACCCCATAAACCCTGCAGAATCCCATGACAGCATTACCATTAAATCCCTTCCAGGGCCCATTGAAACCCTTCTACATTTCGCACCATACCTGGGGGTGCAAACGTGGTGTATTGTGGGCGGTTGTGGTCAGGCCAGGGAGGCTGGAGGGGGGTGGTCAAAACAACAAACTGGGCTCCAGCTCCTTGTCTCGATAAGTAGGTAGAGACAAAAACCCCTGTTCAAATCAGGACTTTGCCTTTATTTGGTGCCCCCCGCAGAACAACAACGACGTGAAAACCATGGCTTGCATTCCCCAAAACTCTGCAGGCACCCTATGCGGTCGCCGGAAGCATTCCCAATTGTTGCTAACTAGCATCAGTTACGGGCTGTTGTGTTTCTGTACCAACAACAACACCAGCAACAGTAATAACCGTAAAAATGATAATCTCATCATCGCTTTGCTAATATCAAGAGCAACAATAACAATAACAACAATATATCTTTAATAACAGTACTACTAAATATACCAACAATAACAATATACACTAGTAAACGAAATAGAAACACAAGTAGAAATAGAAACAATAATAGTAAATAGTAACCTTAACAGTAGTCGTAATAATACTGCTAATAGTAATAGAAAAATAAAAATAGAAAACACAATAGCGATAGTAAAACAAAACAAACAGAAATAGCAATGGTAACTGTGATCGTAATCGTTATAGTGATAGCACTATAGTGATAGTGCTATGGATAGGGACAGTGACAATCATAACACTCATAGAAAACGGTGTAAACAAACCCATTTGGTACGGCGTTGCGCCCCTGGCATGTAATAGCATGAATATGTACCTTAGTAATTGGAATAGAGCTTTGGTGGTCCATTAGAACCTGCGTAACTGCGTAACTATACAGAAGATGTTAAGGTATGCTATTTCTACAATAATCATTTCGGGCTTGTAGAGTGAGGTCGTTCAAATTTGTCATATACAGGGCCTGAAACATCATACTAGGGTCTGGTCCAAAAAGGCCAAGGCACTTGCATTCCCAGAAAAGTCAGCTGCATGGTGTGTGCCCCCTCAAAGGCAAGCAAATCTTGAAGTGCGATATTTTGCACCTTGGCTGAATTGGGTGAATATGGCTTCTCCTGAAGGCTTCCTAGTGATTGTAGGATGCCTGTACGTTTCTGAAGAAAGGTCTTCTATCGGGACTTCAGCAATTGGAATTTTGGGATCTGGGGTTGAACCCTAATCCCTAAACCCTGCCTTCACCCTAAACCCTAAAGATCATAGCAAGTCTTCGGAGGGGATTTACACCTGCCACGTGCAGCTTAAGCCCATCTTCAGCCCGGAAAACTCTCAAGGGCAAATGCTCAGTCAGGGCCGGTTTAGGGTTTAGGGTTTAGTCCCCTTAATGGAACAGGGTCTTGGGTCGAGTGTTGTAGAACTACATATTAAGAACCTTAAGACCTGTACTAATCTGGGTACTTCCTAAGCCCCCCCCCACCCCCATAAGATTGCAAAAGAGCGTTCAACTGATCGATGACACTAGAAGCTCCAAATACTCCTAAAAGCCCTAGACCTCTAAGCCCTAAATCCCGAAACCGCTCAACCTCTAAACCCTAAACGTTTCAGGGTTAGGGTTCAACCCCTACAGCCCTGAACCGACCCTAAACCCTAAACCCTGAATCCCTAAACCCTAAACCCCGCCCTAAAAGCCTTGCTTTCAGGCCGGGTCGCCTCAGGAAGCTGGCTGAGCAAGGGTCCCGCCAGCGACAACGCCTTGAGGGTGTTAGGCTAAAGGGCTGGGGTTCCTTTAAGGGCTCCTTGTTGAAATTTTGGGGTTCCCTCTAAGGTTCCTTTCAGGGTTCTATAACGGGTTCAGAAACTTCGACTTAGGGTGTTTGGGTTTAGGGGGGGGGTTTGCTTTGCCGGTTGGGAATTGGGGTTTGGTTCAGACTTGGGTTCCACCGTGACTACGACGTAGAGTCAGCCCTAAATCCTAAACCCTTTAAGAACAGCCCTAAATCCTAAACCCTACAAGGACAAGCCTGAATCCTAAACCCTATAAGAACAACCCTAAATCCTAAACCCTATAAGAACAACTCTAAATCCTAAACCCTATAAGGACAACTCGAAATCCTAAACCCTATAAGGACAACCCTAAATCCTAAACCCTATAAGAACAGCTCTAAATCCTAAACCCTATAAGAACAACCCTAAATCCTAAACCCTCTAAGAACCCCCAAAACCCTAAACCCTACAAGAACCCCCCAAAACCCCCCAGAGTCTTTGGCGAACTTCGGATTCCCGGTGTCCTTCCTGGCTTTCTGAAACTCTCTTCTTCAACAGCCAGGCCCAAAAAAGTTTAAACCTTTTAGGATAGATCTAATATATAAGGCCAAGAAGTTTAAAGTTCTCCCATTGGCTATCTAAGGAAACTCCCATTTGAGGGCTAAGGGTGCCAGGAACAAAACTCAGGATATGCAAAGAAGCCGCCGTCTCGGAAGCGTGCAGGAGTTGGGATCTATTAGCCTGAGGGTAAGCCAGGTACGCCCGGGACCCTAAGCCCCAAACTTCTGAGCTGCGGGCATCATTGACATTCGCGCCGTAGATCATGAACCCGAGCATAAAGACTCCGAAGAACGTTCCTGGGTTTTGCGGCTTGGGGTCTTGGGAGTAGCCTTCATACGATACGGTTTAGGGTTTAGGGTGTAGGGTGCAGGGTTTAGGGTTTGGTGATATCATAGTTGTACTATGCTTTACTGCAGAGGGACTATAAGAGGATACCAAAAACACGTTGTTCAGGGCTGTATATCAGGGGTTTGGAGGGCCAGTGTTTCTGGGCGCACTTTCTGGTCAGCTTACTCCAGTGGTAGGGTCCAGGGGTTCAGGGGTTTTGAGACTATAGTTCAGGGTTTAGGGTTTTAGGGTTTAGGGCTTTGGGTTTCCCCTGTAGGCCTCTGAGATTTTTGGGTTGTAGGGTTTGGGGTTGTAGGCCCAAAGGCTTCCTGTCTTGCCAAGACTCCGTCGATGACTGTGTAGGCAACGAGTGGGAACACCATACCACCCGTGGCTTCCAGCAATATCGTGCCTACGACAATGGCGATCACCTGGGCTCTCAAGCATCCGCGATGGTTGAGTGCGCAGGATGCTACCCTAAACTTTACCCGTAGGCCCCTAGGTAGTTCCTTTTTATGGCTTCTATTTAGAATCCTATAAGGTAATCCCCAAACAGGAACTACTTAGGGGCCTATGGGTAAGCCTTAAAACCCTAAACTCTAAACCCTACTGACCTACTGAAGTCCTACGTCTTGAAGCCGCCAACCCTATGCCACATGTGCGGTTTGCTAAGGATTTCCGGTAAGAGCCGCCGAGTCACAAGAATGATACCGACGTACAGCAACGGCGACACCAGCATCAACGTCCAGCTGGTGTCGGCAAAGATCGCAGCGCGGGTACGGAACCACCAGAAGAATGTGTCGGATGCAGCCGGGTTGTCTACCTGGGGTTTATGTTGAGTATTGCCCGCGAACCATTACAGTCGATAATAAGGGTACTTACTATCCAGGGCCTTACACGAAATGTGCTTCAACTGTTACTGAATGGAGGCAGCATCCCAGGATTTTGCTTGAAAGGTTTAGGGTTGAGTGTAGTGTACGAGTTTGGAGTGTCTGGTTGTCTGCCTGGGATGCCTGGGTTGGGTGTGGCGAGTTGAAAGGAAGGGGTGTTGATTGTTGGAGCGGGGTTTTGGGGGTATGATTTAGAATTCTTGGTAAACAGTTACTATAAGGACTAGAAGAGGAAACTCGCATTAGCTTTTCATACCCCACTATTAGGGTTCTCCGACACCATTAGTACAGCCAACCCTAAACCGGAATTCGACAAACTAGGAGGCCCTTAGATAAACCGAGTGTAGTACCCTTTGTTATAAAGACCTGTACGTTACAGAAACCTCTCAATGAATCCCTCATCTTCGCGTCGTCTTACAGTGAACCCCAGCAGGTTGGAACATGGTTTAAGGATGATGGGTGCTAGGACTCCTTATGCTTTAGGGTTTGGGTTTAGGGGTTCAGGGTTTAGCTTCTTTATCTTTGAGGGCGTGAGTAAATTGCAATTGATGTTCCAACTTTTTGGCTTCTACATTACACCCAGCTGCCGGCTGCAGCAAGAAGTCTGGGTATGTGTCCAGCTCGTAGAAGTTGCGCCTCCGTGGTGACGTGAGGAGTTCAGGGGGGTCCTTTAAAGGGTTTCCATGAGGTTCGATAGAATTCCGACAGAATTTAGGGTTTGGGGTGTAGGGTTCCGGGGTTAAGGGTGTAGGATTCGGGATTGTCTGGCGGCTATAAGGGGACATTGGGTATACACTTCTTCCGAAGGGGGTCTTCACATTGACCTACAAATGTCTATTCGGGGACAGGCATCTTGAGCCACTGCATGCTCAAGCGGTTTTGAACTTGACTCCAGGCTTACACTTGCGATTCGTGGCCCCTTTGCTCTCGGTCTTTGTATGGTACAGGCACTCAGGGTATTTAGAAGGGTCCCACACAGTAGTAGACTTATCTCGGGATGTATCTCACTGCCGACTCAAGCCCCAACACCCTTGGACCTGAAACCCTTAACTAAACACTTAAACCCCAGAACCCCAAACCCCTAAACTGAACGCCCTAGACCCTAAAACCCTAAACCCTAAGCCCCGAAAACCCCTAAACTCCTAAACTAAAGCCCTAAGCCGTACATCAAGCTGAACAAACCCTAAACCTTAAACCCTAAATCTTGAGCAGGCGTTGTCTCTCGAGGTTGAGGGTACTTTCCCGCGGTGGTCCTCTCGCCTTGGAGCGTGAACCCTAGCCCGGTGCCAGCTGTGCTGGCAACCTCTGCTGCTAGCTCCCCGGCCCTTGTTTCCTTCGTGCTGGTGGGAGGAGGGACCCTCAGAAGACGTGCTCCTCAGGCTCTTGCCCAGGCCAATGTACGGAACTCTCTGGCTGAGAAGCTTTATATCCTTGGGTTGCAGGGTAGGGTTCCGACCAAGCCGGTTGTGTCATTGGCGGGCCCTCGCCTAGGTTCGCAACCTCACAACCGCATTGTTTGTTTTGTGATCCTGCGGCTGACATTGGCGGAGCAGTCGACGTCGTACAGGACTTTTCGCTTGACGGTTCCCTGACGCAAGAAGTCACAGTGGATGCCGGCTACCGCGTTTCTGGCATGGTCCGGATTTTTTGAGCCGAGAACAACGTTCGCTGACCCTCAGATCACGGCCCACACTTTCCCAGCATTTGTCTCGGAGAATTTTGATGCCTGCTCCTCATACGATGCCCCACTGAACGTCCCTAAGCCCTAAACCCTAAACCCTAAACCCATTGGTTGCAACTCAACGTCCCGATTGGGATGCCGTTAAAAGGCTTTGGGCTCCCGGTTAGACGTGGATTTGCAGCTTGAAGTGGTTCTGCCGGCCCGTAGCCTTAATGGTTAGACTGGGGCTGCGGGGTAGATTACAAAAGGCTAGCATAATGAGCCCTACGCCGGAATTTAGGTAATCATAAGATTAGCATGAAAGCATCCAGAACCCTATGGACAATAAACCCTTGCAAGCCGGTAGCCCCATTGAGCCCTAAACTGAAGCCCTACATCCCCTACATCCCCGATGCATTGAAAACCAGGCGCATATCAAGATGGGAGATGCTGGCACGCAGATGGTAAAGCTTGTAGAGCATCAACGCTTGGCGATGCTTCAGTCCTCCAATACTCCTGGGCTAGGCAAAGCTTTAGTAAAGAAGCTCTTCATGATTAGAACAGGGTCTTGGGGTATACATTCATGATTTATATTCGGAAGCCTACAGTAGGGAATGGGATCGGGAAGCAAGTCGAACCCGAGAGTAGGGCCGACGTGGACCTGCGGGTTATCTTTCCTCTGTCGAGATCCGGCTGGTTTAGGGTCCATGGCATGGCTTCGGTCCTGAATTCATACTCCCACAAAAATTTCAGCTTTCAGTTCTATGGGAGATAATGGTATCATACTCCCAGAAAGTGTAAAGTGTACCCACTTAGCTAATATGGGGCTTAGGGTTTCAGAACGGTTTTAGGGCTCACGGTTCAGCTCTGACTTGCTGCTCTCATCCCTGTCCGAGGTGCCACTGATGGACCAACAACAAATCGTTGAGTTGGTTCAATCTGTTCCCGGCTGACCACACTTGCAGCACGATGAGAGGGAGGCTGCAAAAGAGCATGCCTGGGTTGCTCTTCAGAACACGGCTTAGGCTCACAGGCACTAGTCCAACGGGTATCGAAAACCAAGCGCTTGTGCAGGCTTCCAAGAATTACCAAGGATGTCCCAAGCGCCGTAAATGAGCGAAGAGAAGGCGAAACCCACGAAATAGGACATGATGGTCCAGTAGCCCTGGGAATACAGTTCGACGTCGGCCGGGGTCTGAACATCCGTGCTGTTGTCGTAGAAGCCCCAGGTGGGCATCGAGGAGTTGGTCACGGTCATCATGACGTCATTAATGCACCCGGGCTTGTCCACCCAGTCCGGCAATGGGATCAAACCTCACTTCTTTCGCAGGGTCTACAAGTTGGACAACCCATGCCATGACTCGTTGAGGTAGCAAACATGGGTTTCACCGCCACTGCCTTTCTTTCACTGTGGAAATAGATGTATAAACCGAGCAGCATGGAAGGGCTTCACCCACCAGAGCATCCCACAAAGAGGGGATGGTACTGTGAGTCAAGCCCAGTACAAAAATCAACAAGGCAATGGAGACGATCCAGGCTCTATGCTTCACCTGGGAAACAAAGGGTTTTATGTAATGGCTTCAGTTATCAGAACAAAGTTTTGGGTTATATATTGTAGCATGGTACAATATAGTATGATAAACAAACCCCAGCAATAGTAGTATTGAGTATCATCTATATTAGAGCTTAGTCCTGTATACAGGAATGGCAGCTTCGACTTCAGGGTTAACCCGTCAGCTTCAGCTCACGCCGCCTCATGTAGTTGCAAGTCAAGAAAAATTGTTGACCTTCTACTTGGAAATCTACTCCCGGGAGAGGCAGTTAGCCTTTCGCGGTCCCGTTGGTTTGCTGCTTCTAAACCCTAAACCCGGCGGGATGTACGTCCTATCAGAGGGCCAAGACCCTGCCTGCATCATGATTTTGCTCAGCCACATAGCATTCGGCTTCTTTCGCAGGACCTGGAACCACGGCTACGCGAATGTTGCTCAACCCTGATGCCAGAATCCAGCATTTGGCAAACTCAAAGATTCATCCTAGGATTCAGCCCTAAATGGGAGACTCCATCGCAACATACACAAGCCAGGATGTTTGTGTGCATCGCATTCTGTATTAGCTCGCAGCTTCCAGGAAGCGTGTCAAAGGCTGAAGCTAAGGGCGATAGATCAAGGGACCACGAGTCACGAGTAGTTGTGGTGGCACGCAGTACTAACAATGGTGCAAGGGTTGAGTGTGGGTTATAGGTCTTAGATTGGAGGTCGATGGCGGCTAGCCTTATTGGGCCTTGGGCACAGGAACAACACCAAGGCTTGGGATCAAGCTTCGTAGCGCCTACGTGGATTGATGCAGACCCTTGAACCTAGGAGTTAGGATTAGGGGGACCCTTGGCGATATAGACCCTCTGAATAAGGTCCCTTTCAAGAGGGCCATAACTAGGGTTAAGAAGGGTCCCCTGTAAGGGGTCTCCCTAATACCGCCTAGGAGAACCTTATATAGACCTTGAGAATCCGTTTGCAACAAATCTGTGAACATCTCAGGACCGAAATCCCGAGCAGCCACCTAAACAAAATCACACTCTGATTTGCTTCCCGGGGTTTCAATTGCTTTTAGGGGTTTAGGGGTAAGGGTTTAGGGCTTGGTCTATGAAACCTTGTCAGGATACTACTTTTCAGGATCTACATAACGGCCACATGTATCAAATTCTTCAAGCTCCCATCTACACAAGCCCTGAATCCTGTGTTCGCTTCTTGCAGAGCCCCGGGACATCATACGAGGTGGCACGCAGATCCGTCAGCATGTCAGGCATGCTCGGGCTGGCATAGCCACGGAAAATCCTTAGCATTGGGATCCCGATGCAAGCGCCCCTATTGTAGGGTTTAGGGCTTTTTGTGTTATGCAGGGTTTGTTCTGCTTTCTGAAGCACCCACGATGACATGGACGAGGCTGAGTCTATAAACTCGAAAACCAAACGTTTCACAAGTCAGCAGGCGGCGCTGGCACTTCGCCTACCCTATAAACCCTAAAATAGATGTACCCTATGTATGCTTAATAACCAGAATGCCCTAAACCGTAAAGCCCGCATACTAAACTGTAGACTCGAAGCCCCAAGCCCGAAACCCTGATTCCTACGGGGTGTGTCTTCTCACTTCAGAGTGCGTTTTGCCACGGAGTCGGGGGCATCAAGACCACATTATAGAGGCTGCTGCCCAAGAAGCCGAGGCTACTATAGCAGGCTTCATATTTAGAACAGGATTGTAGAGAAGCTTTGAATTGTTGTTTACGATAAAAGGCTTAACATCTATATATATAGAATGTAGAGTTCTAGGACATACTCCAGTGGTTGTTTTTACGGCCTGACTGTTGGGGGAGACTAGTTCGAATTATTCCGGCCCACATTGGCCCCCATATCCGAAATGCAATCAGCAATCTCGATTGTGCGCAAAAAACATGTTGAGGAATCGCAAAAAGCCTTCAACCTCTTGCGTCGAAAAGACACACAAACACAAACACAGACACACACACACACACACACACGCACACGCACACGCACACGCACACGCACACGCACACGCACACGCACACGCACACGCACACGCACACCCACACCCACACCCACACCCACACCCACACCCACACACACACACACACGCACACAAACAAACAACTCGAGGGTGCGCGGCTTTGAGGCTCAACTAGGATTGGGGGATTGTTCTGTCGGATGCAGATATAGGATCAGCGACTTTGGATACAGGGTCGAAGGTTTCTGCGTGGCTGTAAGAAATATAGGAGTGTGCTTACTTCCACCTGGCGATGAGCTCAAGCCAAACTGGACCGAGAGCGATCCCATGAACCTTACAACAGAAAAATGGAAAAGGACTTATTCGTGTAAAAAAGCTCCAGACATGCTGACTGTCCATGCCCGGAACATTGCCAAGCCACCCACCCACCCTTCAACTTCCTGCCCACCCAGCCCACCCACGAAACACCCAAAGCCACCAAGCCACCAGCTACCAGCCAGCAAGCTGGTTTAGAGGACCATACCCAAACTTACCCACAGGGAAGACTATGTAAAACAAAAACACCAAGACTCCCCAACAGGCAGACCCAAATATTCAACTCGAGCCTGGCGCTAACAAGCACCAGTCGCGTAGCACAGTAGCCTAACAGAGCGCCGCAAAGCAACAAAAAGGAGACTCCTCAAACTCCCCAGGCCACGAAGCAAGCTCCGAAAACTCAACCGAACCAAGATCGAAGCTGTGAAAGCCGCAACCCCCTCGCCTCGAAAGGGATAAAAGAAGGGATCCTAATGTTTGGGTTGGTACTCATTTCAGGGTGATCAGGGGGTCCACGTTAACCCTTAACTCACATCTTTTGTCGAAACTGTGCCCATTTTTCAAGCCTAACTCCTAAACCCCTAAACCCCATAAACCCAAAGCCCTGAACCTCTAAACCCCTAAACCGTAAACCCCTACACCCCATAAACCCTAAGCCCTGAACCCCTAAACCCCTAACCCCTAAACCCCTGAATCCTCACCCCCTAAACCCCCGAAGATCCTCAAGCCTCTAATATCCTAAACCCCCAGCTCTAAGTTCCAAGCCCCCCAAGACCGGTTTAGGGTTTAGTTTTTTGTTTTTAAGGTGTAGTGGTGTCTTTCTGAGGGTTTCTGGTTCCCTGTTGGGGCTATATTAAAAATGATCATTTTTAATTTGTATTAGGGTTTTATTATAACAAATGTAAAATTGTATCCAACAAGGACCCAGGTTTAGGGTTGAAGATCTGAAGCCGAGGCACAGCAATTTCTCACCTGCTACAACTCGGATCGTCGCCTCGTATTTCCCCGTCGCCGGTTCACCGGACTGCCTCGGTGACAGGCGATTTTTGGGGGGTGTAGGGGTTTAGAGTTTATAGGGTTTAGGGCCAAGTTTAGGGTTTAGGGGTTTAGGGTTTAGGGGTTTGTGGTTTAGAGCTTATATCGTCCATAGGTTATTTTTCTTAAGTTCGGGGGCTTGGAAGTTTAGTCAAGATGAGCTGAAAGTAAAGCGGTGGCTGTCATGTTGGAGGTGAGCTTTAGCTTTTGGGGATTGGAGGGCTGGGCGCTTCGAGTTTAACAATGCTTTGGGGAATCAGCGATGCAGGTTCCATGAAGCCGTTGGACAGTATAGATCTGTCGCAACATGTCGCAGTGCCTAGAGGCATTTGTGCCAGAGCGCATGCATTGGCTGGTGATGCTTCGTCATACAAGTTGACAAAGGCCAAAGCGAGGATTAGTGACTTTCGTGCTGTAGGTGCAGGCACGACTTGTCCTGCGTGAAGTTAGATTGGCTTGGTGGCAAATTTGGGTAGGCTTGTGTTGGATTGATTGAATGGGGCCAGGTTCAGCTCAAGCTAGGTGAGGAACGAGGACAACCATGAAGCGCACACCCTGAATGTATGTGAAGGGAAATCAAGATGACATTGAGGTTTAAGTAAACAAAGAACCCTAACCCCTAAACCATAGACACGGTTTTGAGAGTCCTTAACTCTACATCTTCCCCTCCTTCTGTATTATAATCTCCATGTCTTAGTCTCTCTTACCTTCCTCCTCTAGGGCTTCGTTCTCTCTGCCTCTGGGAACGCAGGAGGGAGCATGGGCCCTCCAAAAACCCCTGCTTATAAACCTTAGTACAAGAGCCACTTCGGTTTGAACTGGTCATGTGGTTGGATGAAAAGATCTGGCCCCAGATTTCAAAGCCTGCACGTGGCGTTTAACCGTTTTGCGGTTTCAGAGTGGAGGTTCAGAGTTCAGCCACTGGAGTAGTTCTCTAAATCAGGGTCCCCTTTTAGGTCCCCCATATAGTACGGCACCCTTAAAAAAAAAGGACCCAAAAAGAGGCCCTAATCTACACAACTGCCCAGTTGCTTTGCGAGCACTTTGCCCTAAACCCTACACCCTAAACCCCTAAACCCTAAACCCCTGAACCCTAAACGAGCACGGGCGCTCCGTGATGGCCCAAGTCCCATAGTGGTCCGACACCAGCACTGCCGGCTGGTCCGTCTGCACGGTGCACTCCGCCTGATTTCTTCGGGGGCCGACGGCCATTAAGGTTCGAAGTAAAACTGATGGTGCTGTGATGTTCAGGAGGATCGAAAGATACACTTGTAGTCCGTTTTTAGGGTTTAGGGTTTAGAGTTTTTTCGTCCCTGCACCACAGGGTTTAGGGTTTACGGGTTTAGGTTATAGACCTGCCCGTGCGATTCATAACATCAGGCAGGATTGCCTCCAGGCCTGGAGTTCATTCCGAGACATTTAGGATTTAGGGTTTAGGGCTTAAGGGTTACGGGTTCAGGGTAATACGCTGTCACAGGAGGTAACGACAAAACGAAGACCAGCCATCAAACCACCAACAACAATATGCGGGCCATTGACCACAAACACTCCCGACTAGCTAGCCCCACACCTGAAAATCGAAACTTTCAAAAAATGAAGAACCCGGGAACCTGTCTATGCCAAGCAGCATCCGTGGCTCCACCCAGATAAATCTTCTTCTGGATCACATCAACAGAGTCCCCCATAGCCATGGCCTGGTGCTTGAAAGCACAGGTTAAGCCTGTAGACTAAGCTAAAAAGCTCATAGTTTGGGCAGCACTACTTCTACCTGGAACTAGCATGCCTTTCCTCGACTTGCACAGAGCCTAAACCGAAATTCCAAAACCCCAGGCGCTTCTGATTTATAATAAAACCCTAAGCCCTAAGCCCCGTGAACCGTCGGTGACGATGAGAGCCTTGCCATCAACGAGCGGTTGCTGCTCGGCTTTATTTGCCAGCCTTCCAGGGCGCAGCGTCACCTGAGATATTCCCCTAGGAGGGTTTAGGGTCTGGGGTTACGGACTAGGATTTCGTGTGTAGAGTCTGATAGTTTGGGTTGCAAGGCTTCGAGATCAAACTGACTAACCATAAATTAGACACTAAGGTGATTTTGCATGTATAACTAACTGGAATAGTTTTTTTTTTTTGTTTTTTTTTT